AAGATTATCTATCTCCTCTTTTGAAGGATTCTCGACTCTGTTGACTTTCAAAGGTGCACCAACTGGAAAAGAAAGAAGAATAAATAGTGATTTACATCACGATAATGCCTTAAAACAACATTAATATTAGCCCCCTAAGCTTATGATTCTTAATGAACTTTGAGCTACCGCAGGAGCAAAGCACAGAGCAACCACGGTAAAAAAAATAATGAACTACCGGTTAGCGCCAATATCGCTGGCACGTTTCGCCCCTTGTAAGGGAATTCAAGACAGTCTTGGATTCTGGATTCCACGCCGTGGATTCCAGTCTTTGTAAGTGAAAATTGGATCCTGGATTCCAATCTTTTGTGGGATTCCGGATTTCATGAGCTGTATTCTGGAATTCCGGAATCCTAATTCTTTTACCTCGGTTGACACATGCATTTTGTTGTAAAGTAACCAAAGTATCTGAGATCAAAATACTAATCCTAGATTCTTTCTCCCAATGATTGCACCACAGTATGCTCTAATATATTTTATTTCTTAACTTACACACAGTGTGAATAGGTCTTCTGTGAGGTAGTAGTCCAAACCCGCGGCCATAGAAGAGAACTGGTGCTACTCTTGTGTATTCTTTCATCTTTGTTTGCCACTGACGCAGGGATGACCCAGCCGGGTTACTTACTTGGTCATACAGGTCATTTTCTCCAAAGGAGAACACTGGAACCAGGGAGGCTCTGAAATAAAAACAATTGTTACTAGATTGTTGCTTTCCTCTGCAAAGGTACACAATACAGCGCCGATGTAAAGCTGGTTAAAAGTTTACTGAAAGAAGTTTTGGAAGAGGAAAGAGAATGAAAGATACATGACTCGCCATATACCAGTCTGCTTTCAGAGACCTTCTTTGTGTTGTCACGCAACGTTCTTTCTCACACCATTGCGTAACGACACAAAGTCATACTGATCTAAAAAGTTTGTTAACAGTTTCCAGCAGGAATTTTTAGAAGAGGAATGATGCCCCAAGACTCATTTAGATTTAATCTTTGCTCAACCGAGAAAAAGAGCCTATTAGTTTCCATGGTAACTAACCTTAAATTTAGGCTAAGTCAAGAAGTCCGAAATTGGCAGACTTACAGTCATGCGTGTACAACAAAAGTTTAGATTAGGCTACTAAAAACTCGTCATCACATTAAAAGGGGCAAAAGTGCAAAACTGACACAAAATTTAGTTTAAATCGATTTTTAACCTTACCCATTACTTAACGCAAGTTTTATGAATCCTTTCCTTTCCTTTAGCGTTAATTTGACGCTGCCAGGTCTTGCTTCCAACGCTTCGGCAGCTCCTCCGACAACAATAATGACTGAATGTCCAGGGCCCATTTTCGTCAAAATATATTCGATACTGCCCTTGTCAACAGAACACACCCCCGCTGATAGGGTGTACTCTCGAATAAAGGGGACGTTGAAATTCATTGAGAGCGTCAGAAGATGAGGATAAATCCCTGGGAACTTTTCTGAGAAGCCGGTTGCCTCCCCGCAGAAGTTGCCCTGTGCTCCCAAGCCCATGATCCCGTGTGGATGGTAGCAGAAGATGTAATTATCTTTTGGATCTAAATCCGTCGTTTTCACCGACTGAATAGGGAAGTAGTCGCAATAGTACCTCCACATATTCCATCTTCTCACTATCTGTAACGCCTGTGGATAGCCTCCTCGAGATGGCGTTCGAGAGTTTAAAATAAAGGCCCAGCCGATGTAGAGGACAGCTAAAATTCTGGTGTATTCATTTAACAGCAGAATTAAGAGCAAAGAAATGCCCAAAATACCGCCGAAGAGAAACAAGCAGACTTGGAAAAGTACAGCTAATGCCTGGATTTCTCTCGTTATGCTCGCAGCAATTTTTTTAGGATCCCAAATTTCTTTCATCTTGAAAACGTTTCGAGTATATAAGGGTATGGTGTAATATTTCTATAATAAGGAACGTTTTTGTTTTGAACGTGCTTTGTGTGGAGTCATATGTGGGAAAACGGAAGAGGCAAAGTTCAGTGAAAATAAAGAACCAGGATTGGTAACCGCTGGACTACGGATACGGAGCCTGAAGATCGAACAAGTAGCGAGGATATTTCCGGGTGGAATAGCAGTTGAAAATAGCTCTTTTCTGTGATTTCAATATTTAACTGTAGCAAGACATGCAGCAGACATTGTTAAGACTAATTAAACTTATTCGCGGGGTATAAACAAGGCAAGTCAAAACTCCTCCACATGAATCAAACCTTAGCCAGCTCTGACATAGTAGTCAACACCTAAACATGTTGCTTTATTATTGTTCGATACGTATGCGGTGTGTGAGTAACACACCGTATCGGTCCTGTTCCGCGATATCCTCAATTTAATGCAAGACTACAGCCAATTACGTTCTGGCTCTTGAGCGGGAGGTTCGCCTTGTGGAAAAGCTGATAAAATATAGAACACAATAAGAAGTCTTTCGATTTTCGGTTCCCCTTCAAGTCTTCCATTTCACGTCCTCTTATTATGAGGCTATTCGGATACCATTAGGTTAAAAAAATGTGCACGCAATATCTGGAGTTTTTGAATTTCTGAGCCATGAAAATCCCCTAAGATGGCGTTGATCTGCATCATAGAGACCCTCATTATCCTGCAGTTCATTGTTCACGTTTTATTTTTACAAGCCTGTTGGAGCAAACTTTGACGTGCCCGGTCGCGTGGATTAACCGCACGTACAGGCGAATCTTTGTTTACACTGTTTTGCCTCATTAACATATGCTTATCACTATCTGATGACGCTAATAAAATAAAAACTCTGAATATTGACAGGACATAACAGGTTCAGTTATCTCTGAAGATTTGAGCCCAATACACAGAATGGTTTCGGAGAAATTCTCCTCTAAGAACTCGAAATTTTAAAGAGAATGTATGGCTCATTAACTTTTTTTTGCCACACAGCAATTTCGCAGATTTTAATGGCAACAAACTCTAATGACTATACAAATATGATTTTAAAGATGTTAGCAGACAGGCTTTTTTCCTTATTGTCTCTATTTTACTCCGAGAGACAACAGTACAATAAAATACTGCAAAACATTAAGCCCGGGTGGGGCAGGCGGGGTGGGAGGGGAGTCCGGGGTTTCTCCCTTATTTGACCTGAGCGTTAAAGTAAACAGAAATGGTTTTCGGGGTCTTGGGTCTTAAACTTGCACATGCTGTCTTTCTGGATAGGAAGCCTTGAAGAAGTACGTTGACGATCCCCCGTTTGTCTTCCCATGATACTAACGAATTTATTCTAAAAAATCGTACGTTCAAGGCTGATGTTCGTTTTCTAAAAAAATAGTAGAGTTAAGTCTAAATGAATAATGACACGAGTAAGGTGACGCCTTGTGTAGTGAAATAGCTGGTTTTTGGGTCTTCGTTACCTATCTTCACCGGGAAGTGCCTTTTTTTTTGTTCTTACTGGCTTATAGCGAGTAAAGCGCTAAGTCAATGTGTGAATAAGCCCTTAAGTAAGACCATATCTTACAAGATCTCAAGAACCGACGTTCGACAGCTTGTTGAAACGGGTAGAAATTTTGTATTGGGCTGCCTGTGGCAATGCCCAAAGTCGTCTCCAAGCAAACCAAATAAAAAGACAAAATGGCGGACGGATCAGTAAGGAGTGGCGTTTCCCGCTCCCCGCTGCTATGGGGTCGATCATTCAACTTTTGCGATAAGGAATGGCTGATTCTTCATAAAGGGAGGAAGTGGGTCATTTGTGATTAAAAACCGAACTACTTCCGCACAAAGATATTGCTGGGAGTCCCATATTATATTTCAAGTTTTCTCCAAGATGCTTTTTTTATTATATCGAGCCAGTACTATTTTAATTAATAAAAGACGAACTTATAAAAAAGAAAAACAAGGTACACTGAAAGAAAAAAAGTAAATTGAGTAGGTAGTTTAAATCAGTCCCTATTTTGAAGTAAATGTTCTTGTAGTTAGAATTAAACTAACAGGCCTCGGAAAAGACCTCTTTAGTTTGTATGTTTTGTTTTCCCAGTAGGGGTCCCAGGGGAACTTTATTCTTCGTCTTTTGTCATAAATTATGCGTACATATACAAGTGAATAAGACGAAATTTGAAAGAAACAGTTCTCTAGAGTATTATCACATGACCTGTATTAGGAAAACAAAACCTACAAAATATAGAGGTCTATTCGATATAATTAATTAGACAAACTTAAAGCAAGGGCACACATACACCAACTTACGGCCTGGTCAGTACCTCACGCTTGCGCACTGCCATATATTGCCCAATTTTCCCTCACATGTTTAAAAGATTCTCTTTTTAGACCAACCATTTGATACTATCAAAGTAAATGAACCACTTTGAATAATAATTATATCCGATATTTGGAGACGTTGGGAGTTGAAAACTGTATTAACACAGTCGTGATCTGCTATGGATACTCAGTAGGGCTTTTTTTTTCTTTTTCGAGAACTTTGCAGAGCTTGTTGGTTTTTTTTTCTTATTTATAAAGAGATCTATATTTAAAAGTACATAAGTTGTCGTTCAAGACTGAAACGCTGAGATATATTGACATTTGTAACTTAAAAACATTGTAAGAGAACAAGGTAACTATGAAGGGTGCATGTACCTTGCACCTATCCCGTTGTTATGGTGACCGTTGGGGCGCCACGGACATAGCAACCCTTTCCCTCCATTTGATTTTATTTTCAGCTTCTCTTAGGGCGTTGCAAAACTTCAACCCTGTCCACCCAGGGATATAATTCTCCCAACGCTTCTTTTGTCGGCCCCTTCTTCTCCCTCCTTGCACTGGATGCATGCGCAATACTGTAAACCAAATGGTCCTTATAAAAGAACTACTTATGAACAAACTATAAACTACATTTATGGTCATTCTTTACCAGTAAGCACACATGTCTTCTCAGGAGACTATTTCCTGAAGACAGAACTAATAAACAGCTCTGTTGTATTTAATTTACAGTCAACTGTCACTTTGGATACACTGAAGTCAACAGATGTCCAAATGTACGTCTTCAGCGATTCCATAATTCTTCTTGTGTTTGTCAAACAATTCCCTCAACGCTGTAACATAGAGCGAATGAAGATTATCTACCTCCTCATTTGTAGGATTCTCGACTCTATCGACTTTCAAAGGTGCACCAACTGGAAAAGAAAGAAAAATAAACAGTGATTTACATCACGATAATGCCTTAAAATAACACTAATATTAGCCCCCCTAAGCTTATTTTAAATAAATAGTGATTTACATCACGATAATGCCCTAAAATAACACTAATATTAGCCCCCCTAAGCTTATGATTCTTAATGAACTTTGAGCTACCGCAGGAGCAAAGTACAGAGCAAACATGGTAAAAAAATAATGAACTACCGGTTAGCGCCAATATCGCTGGCACGTTTCGCCCCTTGTAAGGGAATTCAAGACAGTCTTAGATTCTGGATTCCACGCCGTGGATTCCAGTCTTTGTAATTGGAAATTGAATCCCGTATTCCAATCTTTTGTGGGATTCCGGATTTCTTAAGCTGTACTCTGGATTCCAAAGCCAAAGATTGCGGATTCCACAAGCAAAACTTTCCTGGATACCGGAATCCTAATTCTCTTACCTCGGTTGACACATGCATTTTGTTGTAAAGTAACCAAAGTATCTGAGATCAAAATACTAATCCTAGATTCTTTCTCCCAATGATTGCACCACAGCACGCATTCTCCACTATATTTTATTTTTTAACTTACACACAGTGTGAATAGGTCTTCTGTGAGGTAGTAGTCCAAACCCGCGGCCATAGAAGAGAACTGGTGATACCCTTGTGTATTCTTTCATCTTTGTTTGCCACTGACGCAGGGATGACCCAGCCGGGTTACTTACTTGGTCATACAGGTCATTTTCTCCAAAGGAAAACACTGGAACCAGGGAGGCTCTGAAATAAAAACAATTGTTGCTAGATTGTTGCTTTCCTCTGCAAAGGTACATAACACAGCGCCGATGTAAAGCTGGTTAAAAGTTTACTGAAAGAACTTTTGGAAGAGGAAAGAGAATGAAAGATACATGACGCGCCATATACCAGTCTGCTTTCAGAGATCTTCTTTGTGTTGTCACGCAACGTTCTTCCTCACAGCATTGCGTAACGACACAAAGCCATACTGATCTAAAAAGTTTGTTAACAGTTTCCCGCAGGAATTTTTAGAAGAGGAATGATGCCCCAAGACTCATTTAGATTTAATCTTTGCTCAACTGAAAAAAAAAAGCCTATTAGTTTCCATGGTAACTAACCTAAAATTTGGGCTAAGTCAAGAAGTTCGAAATTGGCAGACTTACAGGCATGCGTGTACAACAAAAGTTTAGATTAGGCTACTAAAAACTCGTCATCACATTAAAAGGGGTAAAAGTGCCAAACTTACACAAAATTTAGGTTACATCGATTTTTAACCTTACCCATTACTTAACGCAAGTTTTATGAATCCTTTCCTTTCCTTTAGCGTTAATTTGACGCTGCCAGGTCTTGCTTCCAACGCTTCGGCAGCTCCACCGACAACAATAATGACTGAATGTCCAGGGCCCATTTTCGTCAAAATATATTCGATACTGCCCTTGTCAACAGAACACACCCCCGCTGATAGGGTGTACTCTCGAATAAAGGGGACGTTGAAATTCATTGAGAGCGTCAGAAGATGAGGATAAATCCCTGGGAACTTTTCTGAGAAGCCGGTTGCCTCCCCGCAGAAGTTGCCCTGTGCTCCCAAGCCCATGATCCCGTGTGGATGGTAGCAGAAGATGTAATTATCTTTTGGATCTAAATCCGTCGTTTTCACCGACTGAATAGGGAAGTAGTCGCAATAGTACCTCCACATATTCCATCTTCTCACTATCTGTAACGCCTGTGGATAGCCTCCTCGAGATGGCGTTCGAGAGTTTAAAATAAAGGCCCAGCCGATGTAGAGGACAGCTAAAATTCTGGTGTATTCATTTAACAGCAGAATTAAGAGCAAAGAAATGCCCAAAATACCGCCGAAGAGAAACAAGCAGACTTGGAAAAGTACAGCTAATGCCTGGATTTCTCTCGTTATGCTCGCAGCAATTTTTTTAGGATCCCAAATTTCTTTCATCTTGAAAACGTTTCGAGTATATAAGGGTATGGTGTAATATTTCTATAATAAGGAACGTTTTTGTTTTGAACGTGCTTTGTGTGGAGTCATATGTGGGAAAACGGAAGAGGCAAAGTTCAGTGAAAATAAAGAACCAGGATTGGTAACCGCTGGACTACGGATACGGAGCCTGAAGATCGAACAAGTAGCGAGGATATTTCCGGGTGGAATAGCAGTTGAAAATAGCTCTTTTCTGTGATTTCAATATTTAACTGTAGCAAGACATGCAGCAGACATTGTTAAGACTAATTAAACTTATTCGCGGGGTATAAACAAGGCAAGTCAAAACTCCTCCACATGAATCAAACCTTAGCCAGCTCTGACATAGTAGTCAACACCTAAACATGTTGCTTTATTATTGTTCGATACGTATGCGGTGTGTGAGTAACACACCGTATCGGTCCTGTTCCGCGATATCCTCAATTTAATGCAAGACTACAGCCAATTACGTTCTGGCTCTTGAGCGGGAGGTTCGCCTTGTGGAAAAGCTGATAAAATATAGAACACAATAAGAAGTCTTTCGATTTTCGGTTCCCCTTCAAGTCTTCCATTTCACGTCCTCTTATTATGAGGCTATTCGGATACCATTAGGTTAAAAAAATGTGCACGCAATATCTGGAGTTTTTGAATTTCTGAGCCATGAAAATCCCCTAAGATGGCGTTGATCTGCATCATAGAGACCCTCATTATCCTGCAGTTCATTGTTCACGTTTTATTTTTACAAGCCTGTTGGAGCAAACTTTGACGTGCCCGGTCGCGTGGATTAACCGCACGTACAGGCGAATCTTTGTTTACACTGTTTTGCCTCATTAACATATGCTTATCACTATCTGATGACGCTAATAAAATAAAAACTCTGAATATTGACAGGACATAACAGGTTCAGTTATCTCTGAAGATTTGAGCCCAATACACAGAATGGTTTCGGAGAAATTCTCCTCTAAGAACTCGAAATTTTAAAGAGAATGTATGGCTCATTAACTTTTTTTTGCCACACAGCAATTTCGCAGATTTTAATGGCTGAAATTTCCTTCAATATTACTTGCAAAGAGCTGAAAATTGAACAAATTGCTCAACTTGATCAGCTTTTTTAATTTTTGTATTTAGTTCATATTTCCGGCCACGGCTGGTTAAGTCGTATGCTAATAAGGAAAAATGTAAACAATGACGTCGTGCGGGATCTATATTGACGATTTTTCTGTATTGAGGTCATAGTGCCGTTAGCCATACACGAAATGCTTCTGTAGCGTTAAGAAGAAGACAGTCAAAGAAATGGGGTTTTAAAAACTGCCATTGACAGGGCTAGAGCTCCCACAAAGTTTAACAGTCGTGAAGAAACAATATTTTTAATGAAACTTCTATTCTGTACAATACACGTCACTTTTATTTACATTTTATTTGTTAATCACATATTATTTACATCTATAATATTTATTAATATATACAAAGCTGCACACAAACGGGTGCTGAGTCCCAACATGTTTAGGTCCTTCAGCACACTGTTGGGTAAAATATAGGAGCTTAGGTGACGACGACAGCGAAGTCAACGAAAACGGCAAAAAATGGCAAAACAACAACTTTGCACATGCATCACTCTTTTTGTACATTTTATTGCCGTCACTATGCCGGTCTAATTTCACGTTTTGTGGGGGGAGTGAACATAAGATAACGACTTCCTTTTTCTTTTCTTGAACTTCGATATACAGTCTTTAGAATTCAACTCTAGGAAAAGTTGCCAACATTTGACGAATTGAACAAGATGGAGTAAGCGCCAAAAAAGGTTTGCAGCTGCGCGACTTCACTTTTTAAGTGTTGTTTTTGTAGGCGTCGTCATCGTTGTTGTTTTTAAGCTCTCTAATATCAAATATTCTTTGTTTTCCGTGGAGTCTTACGAACTCGCAACATTAAAACAAGAGGAAACAAAAAACAAAAACTACAAAATGGCAGTACATCAACCAGACCTTTACCGTTCTAGTTTCAGAGTTGAATTCTTAGCTCTTTCAAAATAACTATATTAAAAAAAACTTCTTGTACAATAAAACATTTATTATTAAAACCTCTTTCGGCTCTCCTCTACTCTCTCTGTCAAAAGAAATGTAATATGACATAAAACTACAAAAGAAATATGTAATTTCTAGTGAAACAAAGCCAAAAATTTGATATCAGTCCTGGGAGTTCTTTCTAAAGCAGAAACACTCGCTGGAATTTTTCTGCCATCTCCTCAGCCAACTTCTTTTTGAGTTTTTTAATCTGCAAATGACGTATAATAAGTTTTAGACATCACGATGGCGACGAAGACGGCAACGAGAACGTCATAACAACTTTGCACGTGCAGTACAGGCACACGTGACCTTTTTGTTTGCATTTCTTTGCTGTCATTGCTCGACGACGACGTACAACTATATAGTAATACTTCATTTCGCCTTTTATCGCGAACCACGACGAACTTTCTGTTTTTGAACTTGTATAGTTTTCCTTAGTCTCCCTCGCAGACGTTTTTGTCTCGTCACGAGACAAAAACGGCTTCGAGAGAGACTAAGGAATTCATCTCCAGGATATATACTACATTTAAATTGAATCAATCAATTCAAAGTAGACAAACTGCAAATTATAGTAGTTGCTAAAAATTTATCTACGTGTCCCAACTGTTTATCAGAAGGATGCCTAAAATGCGTGCACTTCCACAATTGGTTTCGGCTCCATTAAATCCTATACCAATTGCAGAACATTTTAAGAGGAGCCACCCACCGTGTGAGCTCAGTCGCGGACAACACATATAAGAGAGGAAAATAACGCAAAGCAAAACTAACACGTTATTAAACGAACTAAATGTACACGCTAAGAACTTAAGAGCTCGTTCAAAATACGTACGTACATTTGACAAAGTGCCCGTTGGGTTGTTTCAAACATAAAGTCATTGGTTTCTTGACTCTAAAAAGCTCACAGTGAAGAGGTTGAGGTCAGCTGGATTATTGTAGGGGGTACATCATGCGTTTTGGAAAGCCCTTACGGAAAGAAATGGGCAAAGGTTTTACCTTAGCTCTGCACTGATGAGGAGGTAAAATAGGAGGTAATCAGAAAATGTAGCGTTACAAGACGTTGAGAAAAGAATTGTGGCATCTGCTATGCTAATAATTTAGAAGTAACAATGAGAAAATTATCATGCACGGAAAAGCATTTATGAAGCGTTATATAAAACACGACATCACTGCACATTATAACAATTCAAAATACCTTCTCTCGTTTTCTACTCTGATGAGTGTCTGTTCAATAAATTTTTGGTTTTCTTCTTTGATATTCTTGATAGACTGTAGGCAAAAGAAAAATGGTACTATGTTAAGAGATAAATTTTCATTTATGATCTAGCATCAAAAACTGGAAGAGTCTGAATTCAACCGCTGAATATATTGATCTTATGGACGTTAACCCTATTCAGTCAGACCGGAGGAGCTTTTGAAAATTCTGCTGGTAGACGCTGTTTTAAGCTGGTAAAGCTGTATTTATCGTCAAATCAAAGAGATATTTGAGGAATACTAGCCAAAGTTATTTGGTGCTGTTGTTAACTCTGGCCCTCTGGCCTCCTTTTCCCCGCGCTATTTTTCGTTTCGTCCGAAAAAGATACATCTCTTCGTCACTGGATTTGTCCAAAACACTGTCACTACGGTGACTGCATATGCAGAATCACATTCACAGTCCTCACATTTAGAATGATTATCAAAGACTAGGGGTTCTCCTCAGAGGTCTTGACTCAAATTCCGTGGAGGCAATGATGACAGAAATGGAATTTATTAATCTCTACAGGGGTTGTAATGGTCCAGTTTCGAGTTCGCTATGACCGCTGAATTAAAGGAGTGAAGACGTATTTTTACAGCCTTAAACCCAATCTGAAGTAATATATTCACAAATTCCAACGAGAAAAAGACCTGTTTATTACTCTGTCTATTGTGTATTTTAAGATTTCAAACACTTACTTGCCTGAATTTCTGAATATTTTACTTTACGTCGAGGCTAACCATGTATGAATTTGTCGTTAATGTTTGTATTCAGCGGTAATTTTTAATTCGAAACTGGACTATTTCCGACGCCATTTTGTTTGTTTTTCCTTTACGCGGCGCCTAGGCAAAAAATGCACGCGCGTGTCACACGAGGTGGCACAATTTCTGCTAAAAATAGCACATTTGGCTATTTCGATGGAACCACCCCCATTACTGGAAAAGGTGTCCAGTTACGGTCTCCTACCCGGATTATGGCTCCTGGTAGCGAAGCATAAGAAAACAGAAGACATTTCGCGACGCCACTAACGGTTTCCCCGCGAATTGAAATCTGAGAAACGAGCGCAGAAATTCCATACTGATGACGCGTCACTACCCAAATCTGGGTAGTGACGCCTGTTTTCTCAGGCTACTGGTAGCGTTCAATAAATTAAAATGAAATAACCATAAGGCGGGTGGAAACATAGAAACATAAGTTCAGGATAGATAATTTCTACCCTTCCATACAATTTCACTCGTGAATTCCCAAACCTTTCAGATACAGTAAAAACCCGCAGATAAGAACCTAGTGAAATTGAAATTTGGCATTTAAATACCTAAAAATATAAGAACCTGTTCAGCCTGGCAAAGAAAAATAGCAGTGAAATAGGTTCCTGTACAAGAAAATCACTCCAATTTTGATGGTCAAAATTCTCGATTATTTTAATTGTGTGAGAAACTTTTGACAAAAGATTATTGTGTATATGTTTCCCTTGATTTACATTTGTTTGGATTTTCGTTGGAAATGTTTTCCATAAAGCTACCGTGCAATATAGACGATTAAAAATCTTAATACCTTATTTTAAAAAATATAGAAATGTATTGATGTTCTTCTTGGACCTTGATTGTTTGCCATTATGTATAAATAGTACAATATTTCTGCCAGTGGTTAAATTATGACTAACGCAACCTGTGAAAAATAAGAACCTT